TGTAAGAGTATATTTGATCCCATCCTAGTAGGTGGGAATGTAATTCCCGGGTAACTATGGGCTGGTCTTCACTACGGGGAGATCGACGCTGCTACAATCGATGCAGCAGAAACTGATTTAGCGGGTCTAGTGAAGACCTGCTAAATCAATGGCAGAGCACTCTCCAGTCGACCCCAGGACTCCCGCTCCCCGAGAAGAGTAAGGGAAGTCAATCAGAGAGTGTCTCCTGTTGATGCAATGCAGTGAAGACACCAGGGTAAGTTGACCTAAATTACATCGACTCCAGCTACTTTATTCATGTAGCTGGAGTAGCGTAACTTAGGTCGACTTGCCTCCATTGTGAAGACAAGCCCTATGTCAAGGACTTGCACCCTGAATAAGCAAGAGCACAGGCAAGATCAACATTAATAAGATGTTGGACCAACTGAGCTGTGTGCACTCTGCAGCACTGTTTGTTTGGCAATTTTGAGTTACAAATGAAGTTGCAGCACTTCATGCTTGTAGTTGTAAGATCAAAGCTCATGGGGAACAGTTTGACTTGGAAGTATGGATATTCCTTGGGAGAGTATCTACTTCTTAAAATAAAGGGACCTGTGAAATAAATAAAATACTAGTTTGTAGAAAATATTGCAGATGATGTTCACAATGAATGCCTTTCAGGGGACCCATAGTAGCAGGCTATCATCTGCAAAGCCTCTTCCCAAAAGCCTATTTCCTTGTTCATTGATGTCCACTGAGAGAAGGCGACAGAAATTCCATACTCTATGCTACCATGTACATTCTCTATGTCTCAAGAGCAGCCTTAACAGAAATGGAGTACCTGCACCAAGTTATATTTGTGTAGCAGAAAAGTTAACTCATTCCTGCTCAACGTTCCACACAGGCATTGTGCCGATCACAAAAACAAACAAAAATGATGACAAGAAAAAATGCAACAAGATGATTATGCCTTACTGAGCATTCCTGAAACTGTTTACTTTTTCCCCACTGTGACATTCTATACCTTGGGGGAGCATCCTGTAACCCCATATTCCTCAGTTTTATATCATCGTGATCTTACATATATAAAGCATGCCTTGTAAGGTATCAGGGGAAAGGTTATGATCTGCTGAAAGTCATTTCTCTATCCATATATGTATATCTTTAATGCATATGAAGTTATGAGAATTGTGTTATATGGTTGTCACTAAAACATGCTGTACATTGGGGAATCAGCCAGATATTAGCTCCCCAGAGGCAACAGCAAGTAAAGTAACCAACACCTGAGCAGCATGTCAAACAAACCATCAACAGCCATTGTCCAACAAGGGAGCTACAATTCAATGACTCACCTGCATGAGGCCACACCTGGAGAAATGCTCAACCTTGCCTGGAGACTCAGCAATACCCCCCAGACATGCCTGGATTTGTGCTCCCCAAGCACATGGGACTAAAAGTATAAAACAGAACACGGTGGCCACATGCTGGGCCTTTCTCCTTCCCCCACCTTTGCTGCAAGCAACAAAGACAAAGACAAGACTCCAACAGAGGAGACTGTCCCGTAAACATGGGCCAAATCTGTATATTAAGGACAGCAATATCCAGTGGGGTGAGAAAAACTGCTTAATCTAGATGTTGCCCAGTCTAATAGGGTTGAGAGTTTAGATTGTGTGCTTATATTTTATTTTATTTTGGTAACTAACTCTGACTTTTTGCCTAGCACCTAATATCACTTAAAATCTATCTTCTGTAGTCAATAAATTTGTTTTACTGCTTATCTTTATGCTTATCTTTACCAGTGGGTTTCTATGAAGTGTGTGGCAGATCTGCTCAGGTTTTGCAAAGGCTGGTGTATATCCACTTTTCATTGATGAAGTGGTGAACCAATTAATAAATGTACACACTTGTCTTGAAGAGTGCAAGACAGTATATTCCTGGGGTACATTGCTGGGAGCTGGTGAAGGGGGATTGCTCTGGTGCCTTTCTCTGTGTGATTCATGAGTGGCTCTGGGAGCATTCATGCAATCTACTGGGTGTTGGGCTCCACATGCAGTTGTTCTGAGTGATAACAGCACCTGGAGGGGTTTGCTGCTCGTCACTAGCAAGGCATTGAGAGAGATGGCTCAGGCTGGAGAGAGTTCAGGGGGCATAGCGGTCCCACGGTCCCAGGCTGCACTTTGGGGATCCTGTCACACCCATCTCTTCATTTAAATGTCTGCAGCTACAGATGGAACCAGTTACTTCACACTTCCTTAGTTAGGAAATGACCAGCCATACTTGCTCTTAGTAGGGGACTAGGAATCGTTCTTTTAAAAGATGCAAGTATGGACTTGCTAGAAGAGTTGTCCAAGACAAACTATTCCTGTTGTGCGTGTTGACTGTTCTCTTCCAACCCACCTCCCAGTATAAAATTATGTAGTGCCAAAACGTACTAGGTGATTTACAGTCCAGTAGGGTAAGACAACAAGTGTTCTGGACCCAAAAGGGTACAATCTGATGGCCAAATTCCACCCTGCTTACACCACCCATGCAGTCTCATTGAATTAAGGGTTGGATAATTAGGCAGGGGCATTCCTGTAGGGCCCTGACAGCAAGGATCAAAGATCAAACTTGATGCAGTAGAAAGGAGGGAGGTGGTACAAGGATTCAAGCAGGACTGATGTAATCACTCCAGCTCATGTGATTTCTTGGCAGTCCCATGTGAGGCCCAGATTTCAGTGGGCATCAAGATTGAACTGCCCCTAGTTGTGGATGAAAAATATACAAGCATTCTGAAAGAGACAACTGTCTGCTGCCCTGCTTCTACAAGGTAACGGTCAGTTTAATGAGAGCAGTGGAATGTAGAGGCAAAATGGAGTGGTCAGGATTCACCTTGGAAAGGGAGGGGACGGGCTCACAAGCACTACGTGTGAGCAGTTGGCCCCAGCCTAGCCAGCTGTGTAGTTTGTTTTTTCTTTGTAACCTTGTCTGCAAATACAAAAGCTCAGTCTTCCTTTACAATGCACATTCCAGTAGATTACAAAGGCATGTCTTCTCTTAGTAACATTATGTATATGAGGACATTGGCTCAATTTTTTTCATATGCTGTTAGATTTTTGTGCAATTTAACTAGCTTATAAAAAGCCTAATAAAAAGATTGATTCAAATACCAAGATTATGAACCTTCATCGTCTGCCATGAAAATAACCAAGATTTAATTATATTAATTTTCCTGGTTTTAGTAAATATGAGTTCAAAGCAGAACTTGAAATGTGAAACAATAATATTTCATTGGTTACTTGGCGTCCATTCCACAACAAGTCTACTTGCAGCTGAAAGAAAAACACAGGGAATAGACACTTCATAATCACATAGACTTAACAAATAAGTTGAGTTTGATATTTCAAGTTGCCCTAATAATATCTAGAAATTGCTCTGGTACCAGTTCTTATCTGGTCACTGTTTGCAAAAACTTGCTTTTTCCAGTACAAATCTAAGCATTTTATAGCTTTCCTTCTGCTGCATGTAATTCCCATTAATAGGAATTACAAGTACACACTAAGATCTGTCAAAAGGAAATTACAGGTCTAAAGTCCCCAAATTCTCCTTTAACTGATCATTAACATGAAGCTTTACTTCATGCACAATAGTGATATCCATTGTTGTGAAGTGTCAGCAGGGAAAATGTTATGAATAGTTTCAGGGCTTGATTCTCCACTGCCATACCCCTTGTGCAGAATGGCTGTAAAATGCTACCATTTTGATTCAGAAATGTTACATGACCATACAAAGGGCAAGGCAATGGGGGAATCAGGCCCTAGTCTATATATATTCAGCCAACATTCAGTTAGCCAAATTTTTAAAAAGAAGGTTCAAATACAGCTAGACTCCAGTGAGTACAGAGACTATGGAAACTTGTTTTGCCTTTTGCAAAGGTGAGAGCAGAGATGGCTTGAAGCGTTATGATTTCCAAAGAGACACAGTCTGTTTGGGTGCTGGAAATGTGGGGCAGTGTGCCCAGAAGAGCCATTTGCTACGTGCTCCTCACAGTGCCGCCACCCAGGCACTCTGAGTGGTTCGGGTCATGGCCCCAAGCAGACATGCTCATTCTGTGCCTGATTCCCCAATGCCTTGCATAATCATTTGCATCTGTGCTAGTGAGTGTGAAATGCTGCTATTCTGATCTGATGCATTTCACACCCACTTTGCATAGATGTTAATGATTACACAAAGCGCAAGGCATGATAGAACGAGGCCCGCAGGATCCACTATACTGTTGCCGGCACCACTAGCCAGCCTGCTCACCACACCACTTGTGCATCCCAACAAAAGGTGTTTGCCCCCAACATGGTTGAACACGGGACTAGAGAATTGAGATCCCTATGCCCTCCCCACACACTACTGCAGCTGAACAGTTAAGCACTTGCCTTTCCCAGCTTGCTTTGATCCCAACAAGAGCAAACCTTGCTAACAGGATGGGTTGCTTCAGATGAACTGCCAGCCTGTTGCAGAAACATTATTTAGCTCTTCATATACATTTAAGGGCCTGAACTTGCAACCCTTATATTGAATAGCCCTCCTCATGCAAGTGGTCCCATTGAATTAAAAGGGACTGCGCATGTGAGTAAGGGCTGCAACAACACTTCTTGTTTTAGGGCCTGTTAACTGACAGTTAACTGCATCCCTCCAAAAGGCCAAGGAATCTTCTGCCTAGCACACAGACTTTGCTCTTTTTGAGTGGAGAACTGTGTCATATGCATGATTTGTAGTACATTACTTAAGGGAATAACGTGTAATGCAGCATTTTCTTACAAGAAACATGTCTTACCAAACAGAAAAGACAAGATGGAACAATTACCATATAACTGCAACCTTTAAAGAATGTTTATAAAACTCACAGGATCTCTCCTTTCACAACAAAAGTGAGCTGACAAAACATTTGATGTTTAAACTTGTCAGCAAATATATGATAAATAGTTAAAGCTTCAAATGTAGGTATTACTTGTACATAGTCACCAGTTGTACCAATGATCACAGTTTACCTTTACACCCAGTGCCTCTCCTGAAATGACGGACACAGTCACACCATTCTTGGAGGGTTTGGGGAAGTCTTTGTTTTTCAGTTCTTGGTATTGTGGTTCCACCATTTTCTCTGAACTTCTCAAATTGACCCAGAGTTGCAGAGCATGTGCTGGTTCCTCTCAGCAGAGCATCTCTGCATGAAGAATACCCCGCCCGGCTGTCACCCACTAGAAAGATGATATAGAAGGAACAGAATACACAACACAGACATTAAATTTTAGAAAATGGAGAAGAGAAAACACACTTGAATTTCATTAACTTGGACAAGTTAATATGACCAAAGCTTTTGTCTGGTTAGAAGACAGATTAGATAAACAATAATCTTTCCTAACGTTTAGTTTATCTATTGATTTCAAATGTTGAAGTGCTGCACTGAAACAATATAATTTATTGTTAATCTACTTTAGCAGAGATTTTAAATAGAAAAATATGAAGTTTCCCATGGTAACATGGCATGCTGGGAATTTATCTAACCATATGACAACAGAGTGCAATATAGTGGCTGAGTTGAAAAGCAGCCAGTTTCAACTTCTCTTATAACAGAAAGAGGGGTAGTGTTCCTCAGCTGTAGGTTCTTCACAAATTCAAATGAAAAGGAACAAGTAGTCATTGTTTAGGATTAAGATGTCAATGATTCCTTTCTGCCCACTTTCCCACACCTGTAAATCTCCTGGGTTCAATCTACCAGCATGTCCACAAAAATCTTCATAGAATCATAGAATAACAGAGTTGGAAGGGACCTCTGGAGGCCATTCAGCATTCCTCTTTTTGGTCTCAATTCCAACACAAAGGGAAACTGCAGAAGAAACTAATCAAGGCTCTATCTTCTGCATACCAGTGTTTTTGCTGTGATGGCAATAAGGAAAAAGTAAAACTAACTAAGTTTATCATCACTGCAGAGAAAGCACCCTGGAGTGGGGACACCCTAGGCCAGAGGTGGGCAAAATACGGCCCCTGGGCCACATCCGACCCGCATGACCCTCCTCCCCTGAGCTCCTGGCCCAGGAGGCTAGCCTGTCAGGCCACATCTGTAGGTTTCTCCTTGGAGTATCATAGTTTCAACTTCCTTTAAAAACAGCCTCAAGTCTACATGCCAGGACCGTAGGAAAATGGCAGCCATCTTCCTTGGTTTCAGCCCCATTGGAGAAGATGAACATTTTGAATGAGGAAAAATTCATAAGCTGGAAGGCAGAAATACAGAGATCAGGTGACATTTAAAACCTCCAAATATCACAAGACTGTAGGCAACAGTAGATTCAGAGGTGGATTAAGCAGGGCAAGTCATTGGAGTTGATACAGATAAGTGTCCTCATGTCAAGGCTGAACTTTGCTCGCAGAACATAGCCAAAGATCTGGGTTTTATTTATGCAGGAATCAGAGGATGGAGGAAAGGGATAGAGACTTTTGCCATAAGAAGGAAGTCTCGTCCACAGGCAAACAGCAGGTATTACTGACACCTGGTCAAAAAGCATCCTGAGCTGTGCAGCTATGGATCTGTTAATATTTTAGAGAACGACTAAGTTTTTGTACAGTGTGAGTTTGCTTCAAATTCCTGAAAAATCTCATTTTTAAAGAGAACAAATTCATTGTTAGACATTGTACCCACACTAATCTTCCTCCTCATCTCATGTACCCTCTCTGCCTTTCTTCAAACAACCTAAAACCTAACAACTTCTGAAATTTATCCTGCATATATTACAAGTTTCTGAAGCGCCTATTTCAATTACAGAGACATTGCTAACATGTCTAAGTCTCTAGAGCTAAGTCCTTGTGGTTTATGATGTTTGTACTATACTATGCATCCACTGAATTACAGCCTTCTCGGAAGTTTTATGCACTGCTTTACGTTCAGTATGAGAAGTGTTCATCTTGTACTCAAGAATTGCATAGTAAGAACCAAGGTGTTTTTTTTTTCCAATTTACAGCTATTCTTCCAATTAAAAAAGATTTTCCTGACTTTCAGTGGTTTTCCCCCTCCATTTTAAAAAGACATTGTCAAATGCTGTAACAGTACATTTTTACTCTGTTTTAATGCCATATTAGAAGTTTTAGTTCAACTGTTCTCTGCTCGTTTTTCACCTTTTCGTTTACTAAACGTTGATTGCTGTCCTTCAGCTCCACTTCAGGAGGATTATTTCCTCAGAACTTTTTAGTTAAGGTGAGCTCCCTCTGGTGCCTGGCTGGCTTACTCATACACCAAAACCTGCATCATCATGCATTAGCTATTTCTTTCAAGACATAAGGAAAGCTAATTTTTAAATCAAAGGGCCGGTTCATTACTACATTACTCTAATTTGATATTGACGTAAACTCCATGGAAGTCGGTACAGTTACAACAGCATGACATTGGTATTGAATCAGGCTATTTAGACTCTGATGGACAACATTTTGATGTGTGCAGACCACATATGGTATTACAAACTATATTTTACCCTTTTATTCTGTTACAGTATAGATGGTATAGGGTATGCTACTTTGAGACTTCCATTACAAACCTTCTGTTTGTGTAAGCTCTTAACTTTCTCCAAAGGTATTTTTGGCTTAGCTAAAGTTTTCCTAGGCCGGCTATCAGCCCTGAAGTTCAAGGGGAAACCTGTTCAAACATTTCTGAGTTATGCAAGGGTGAAATACACATATGCTTTTTCTTCCATAAAAAGGGTTGACTGTGCAGTAGAATCACCTCTTCAAAGGCAGTTTCAGGGAGCAGCCATCAGTAGCAGAGATGCCATACGCTAAGGAGTGGAGCTACCAGGGATGGTACAGAGGCACAGAGCTTCTGTGCCTCCAGATGATTCCTGGGGTTTGTGGCCTAAAAGAAAAAGGCCACTTGTTTTGTATCTGCACAAAATATTGGCAGCTATATAGAGACCCCAGCACAAACTTTTGGGCTCCATCTCTCTTTCAGCAGAAGGCTCATGGCGATGGAGTTAATAAACAATTCCTGTAAATTATTACCTCACCGATCCTCCCCAAAATCCTAATGTTGGCTTTATGCATAGTGGCCTGGTGAGAGTGGCCAAAAGCTAGTCACATCTGAGAGGGTGGGCAGGGGAGTGTGAGAGATGTTTTGCAGTCCCTCCCCCACCCCCAAGAGTGTTACCGCAGCTGGGTTTTAGGCAACTTTGACCGTAAAATTTGAGCTGCCGGGTCTAACTATGATTAATTTAAACAAGGTCTTTGCACTGGTTGATGGAGTTCATGGGAAACCCATGATTTAAAAAAATCAGTCTAAACTGGGTTAAAAGTAGTTGCTTTAAACTTCATCTACTCTCTTCTTGAAAAGAGAATGGAAACAGCACCAAGCCCTAGCCCAAGGAAAGTGTCAAATAAAGATGGCTTCAATTTTTCTTCTTGCACTAGTATTTATTTTTAATAGTAGCATTACTGCAATGCATACAATCTCACAAGAGGCTTACCAGCTTGAAACAGTCAAATAATTTTTACATGCAAATTCTATCTGACAATAGTCAAATTTAACACAAATGGGATAAGAATGTCTGCAGTAATTCAGACATTCAGCACGCTGCCCACAATAGCATTTGTAATCTTCGTTTTCACTTTGAGACTCTGCCAGATGGAAGGGGAAAAAAACCACTTAATAGTAAGTAACCAAAGAATGAAGAGCCCCTTTTGCCAACAGCACATAACAGCATGAGGCCATGTCAACAAAAAACATTGAGACTTTTAAGCTTGTTTGAAACAAAACACTTATCAGAGGAATGGAGTGGAAGGAAAAAAGTCACATTCTTGAAGTCCAAGACATATGCACATTTCAACACTCATGGCAAAAAGACATAACCGAGATGAAGTTACTTAGTTGGTTTATTTTTGATTTGTGAAACTCCAACAAAGTTGCATAGCACTAGTACCCCTCAGACATAATTACTGTCCTTCAAAACAGTTGTAGACTATCATGTGGTTAAAGGTTTGGCATGACTATGTAAGCTTTTAACTATCGGAGAAACCTTTTCTAGAACAGATATTTGTGACAGTAAAATGAATACCCATAAATATTAATAACCATTAATACCACCAAGAGTCAGCTCTCGTAAATTACAACAATCAGAAGGGTTGCAAAATATGACAAAAGTCGAGTCAGAAAAAAAACCAGAATAAATTAGGAGCCATTCCCACAACTCTCAATACCCAACTTTTAATTCCCAAAATACCGCTGATGGAAACAAAAAATATAAAGATGTACTCAGATTTTTGGGCCAAGTTCATCACTATTTCACTTGGAAGGACTGTGGTACAATCTCTGTTACTATGTGTTATGAGATAAATTAACTGTTATCGCATAGAAAACTGCTTAGTCACAACAGACAGTGATTCACCTCACTTAGCAAAAGCCCCTTTCATGGAGCAACATCCTTCTCAAATCCCTGCCCAATCTCCCATTATTTGGTTCACAAAGCTTCTCCTTTTGTTGACCATCTGGAGTGACTTGGGTGATCCACAAATTAAGGTTTCAGAACCACTGGTTAAATACATTAAGCATGCTCAGAGACTGTGGAACAGTGCATACTGTCACGTGCCAATCCCTTTCCCTGTTCTGTTTGAACTACATGAGCAGAGCAGTGGACCACTAGGATGCAGGAAGCGAGTTTCTTCAGCTTGGATTGCACCACACTGCTTCTTCTCTCTGTGCTCTGAGAAAGAGAATGGGTGAAGAGATTTCAGAGACCAGCCAGAATTGACCATGCCATGTGCTCTGAGGGTCTAAGCCCTGGAATTCAGGGGCCCTGAAAGCAGGGGGCAGCTGATGAACACTCCGGTCAGACTATGAACTCTTTACTTAAAAAAATAAAAGGGGTGAAACATCCAAATCATAGTTTGAAGGTCAGCTTCTTGTTAGGTCTATAATTATCCTAAACTTGTTTGTTAAAATGATAATCTAACTAAGGGCTAATCTACACTACACCAATGCAGCTGCGCCACTGTAGCGCATCTGGTGAAGACGCTCTATGCCAACAGGAGAGCGCTCGCCCATTGGCATTATTACTCCACCTCAATGAGAGGTGGAAATTATGTCAGCAGGAGAGCATCATAGTGAACTGTGGACACCGCTTTAAGTTGATGTAACTTGTGTCGCTCAAGGGAGTAGCTTTTTTCATACCCTTGAGCGATGTAAGTTACATTGACTTAAGCAGTAGTGTAGACAGGCCTTCAGTCTACCACAAATAGGATTTATTATATTTGGCTGATCTCCATTTATTCTGTATTTAGTTTAATTAAAGTGATAGTCAAAAAGTTTTTCTTAATATCTAACTCAAATCTCCCTTGCTGCAGATAAAGCCAATTACTTCTTGTCCCACCTTTGATGGACATGAAGAAAAATTGTTCACCATCCTCTTTTAAACAGCCCATAACATAATGAAGACTGTTAGCAAGTCCCCCCTCAGTCTTCTTTTCTCAAGACAAAACATGCCCAGTTTTTTTTTACCCCTTCCTAATAGGCCAGGTTGTCTAGCCCTTTTATCGTTTTGTTGCTGTGCTCTGAATTCTCGCTGTTTTGTCCACACCTTTTTAAAGTGTGGTGCCCAGAAGTGGACAAAGTACTCCAGCTGAGGCCTTTCATACGACACTCCTGTGAATACACTCGACAACGTTATTAGCCTTTTTTCGCAACTGCATCACATTGCTGATTCATATTCAGTCTCTGAACCACTATAACCCACAGACCCTTTCCAGCACTACTACCACCTGGTCC